TCAATACCCGTGGTGGGCAGAGCACAGATAGCTCATTGTGTAGCTTTGTGCTTAATTACAAATAAACAATAAACAATTATATTTAGTAAACATAATATACATCCTAAATTTGTTTTATCGCTGTATGTAGTAGCATTAATATGATTAATACTATTGCCTACTCCAATACATTCACAAACAGACACCGAATAGAATATTAACCTAAGAAATGAAATAAGCATATGTAATTCTAAAAATTGTTGAAGAAAATCTAACAGTACAAAAATACTTGTAAACGTAGTTACTTTTAATTCAGTTTTGATAAGTGTTTCCAAATGATCAGTTTCAAACTCTTCCGAAACAAGTTTTCCCTCAAACTTTCTTATATATTTTGGTAACAGTGTGATAGTTAAGCCTTTAACAAAAATCAATCACCTAACTAATTTGAGATCATCTTTCTCTCTCTTCATAAGGACGATGCAAAGAATGAGCCTGCGTAATTTTTCTAGACTTCTTGTCAGAAGTGTGTTGAAAAACTTGGACAAAGGATAAGGGACAGATTTATCTATCACGTGTCAAAGTGCCCTCTTTTATCTTTCAAACATACATCTTTAATCAAAATTTAATGGATAAATCATAAAATTCTAATGTAATTTTTCACTCATTGTTGTAGAAACAGTTTAGACCTACTTAGAAAAGTCGATTTGTCGAAGTCGACTTTAAATATTTCTTCTCCATCAATTCCGTAAGTGCATGGGCCGGGCGTGGCCCAGTAGTTAATATGCTTGGACTGTAAATCGGAGGGTTCAAGATTCACGTCATGCTACTGCACATTTTGGTGTCGTGAGTGTGTTATAAGAGTAACTGCCTAATCCCACTATTCAATCAAACAAACGTATTCCAAGAGTTTGGAGTGGGTGTTGTTGACTAGCTGTCTTCCTTTTAGCCTACTAGTTAAAACTTAGGGACGGCTATATGCTTTGTGTAGCTTTACGCGAAATTCTAAAATAAACAAACAAACAAACACACAAACCATAAGTGCATTCGTCCATTCTTTCTTGTCTCAATAACTGTATCCGTCTATTCTTCATCCTTTCTTGTCTCCATAACTGTATCCGTCCATTCTTCATCCTTTCTTGTTTCCATAACTGTATCCGTCCATTCTTCACCCTTTCTTGTTTCCATAACTGTATCCGTCCATTCTTCATTCTTTCTTGTCTCCATAACTGTATCCGTCATTTTTCATTCTTTCTTGTCTCCATAACTGTATCCGTCCATTCTTCATTCTTTCTTGTCTCCATAACTGTATCCGTCCATTCTCAATTGTCTCCATAAGAGTATCCGCTCATTCTTCATTCTTTCTTGTCTCCATAACTGTATCCGTCCATTCTTCATTCTTTCTTGTCTCCATAACTGTATCCGTCCATTCTCCATTCTTTCTTCTCTCTATAACTGTATCCGTCCATTCTTCATTCTTTCTTGTCTCCATAACTGTATCCGTCCATTCTCAATTCTTTCTTCTCTCCATAACTGTATCCATCCATTTTTCATTCTTTCTTCCTCATTTTCATAAGTGTATCCATTAGTTCTTCACTGGATGTATATGAACCCTTGATTTTTTTCCATTGTCAGACATTTTTACATTGCCATCTATTCTGTCCCCCTCCTCGTCTATTTATTCGTCTATGTTAACCTCCATTAATCTAATAATTCATATTTACATTTATGAATGTATCCGTCCATTTTCTTCTCATTAAAGAATCCGTCAATTCACCCTTAATTTCATAAACACGTAGGCTCATTCTGACATTTATGAATCTACCCATTCACCATATTATTTCAGAATTCGTAAATCCACTCCCCAGGTTCATGAATCCTCTTGACAAAAATGCGTTATTGTCGTTTCCAGAGGCGTCTGTTCTCAGGAACATGTATGACAAGTAGGTAAAGCTATTTTATTTGACGCTTCGAACGTCTTGCAGCTTTGATTTACATGTAGATAAAATATTAAAAGTATAATTTGTTACATCAATCAGAATTATGTTGGTTACGTGACCTTCGAAAATCTTGAAGAGTAAATTATCAATTTATATGTATATAAGATGAAAAAACATGTAAGCTGTATATATACTCGTATATATCAAGAAGTAATAACAGAAACAGTTTTATCCAATCAACTACCAAAAAAGATGATTTTGTGTAATTTACTGAATTATAAAGCGTGTCCCACCAGAACAGCACCAACTCTGGGTGTAAAACATATTTTGGTTTCTGTTTTCTTCTAAAACAGGTTGGCAACCATTCTTTCAGGTCTGTAGGTAATTATAAAGCGTGTCCCACCAGAACGGCACCAACTCTGGGTGTAAAACATATTTTGGTTTCTGTTTTCTTCTAAAACAGGTTGGCAACCATTCTTTCAGGTCTGTGGGTAATTACTCATTGAACTAGAAATTGGAAGTTTTTACAAAAGAATAAATTTTAATAGATGTGAAGGTCTTACGAAAGCGTAAATTTTAATTATAATGTTCAAACCGACAGAGAAAATGTGCCCATTCACCAAATTATATCAAAATTCTTATACCCACTTACATCCAGTTTCATGATTCTTCTTGGCAGCTCTTTATTTTTAAGGTCCAAAATGACAATGATATAAAAACTATTTACGATTTAAATTGGTCATTTTAAGTACCACGTCTACAAAATACAAACTAACGTGTCGAAACAAATATAGCAATACATAAAATATCTTCATAACAAGAAAATAAGCGGTCGGGCGTGGCCTAGTTGTTGACATGCTGAACTGAATTCAAGGTTAGAGCCGCAATATGCCGTTAAACGCTCTCCGCTCTTTCTTTCAGCTCTGTGAGGGTTTATAGCTGTTATAGTTAATCCCGCTAATTCGAAGCGGGGGGGGGGGGGTAGCCGTATAGGTGGCGAATGTTGCTGACTGTTTTTTCACCCTTTTGACCAGTGTGAAGTTAGGAATGCCTCTATCCTTGACCGTTTAGCTCACGTGGCACATAAAGTGCCCTCCAGGTTGAAAATGCTGTATTTGTATCATATCTACCGCTGTCCATAATGTTGACTCTACCATCCACATTAAAGAATTGATTGTCACTCTTATAACGCACTCACATTCTTTGGGGCGAAATTAGCAGTATGAGCACTCGTGGCTCTGGCTCTCTGATAGGTTAACACTTTTAGAAATATATTTATCTTTACAACACCGGCCCGGCATGGTCAGGTGGTTAGGGCGCTCGACTCGCAATCTGTGGGTCGCGGATTCGAATCCCCGTCACACCAAACATGCTCGCCCTTTCAGCCATGAGAGCATTATAATGTGACGGTCAATCCCACTATTCGTTGGTAAAAGTGTAACACAACAGTTGACGGTAAGTGGTGATGACTAGCTGCCTTCTCTCTAGTCTTACACTGCTAAATCAGGGACGGCTAGCGCAGATAGCCCTCGTGTAGCTTTGCGCGAAATCCGTAACAAACAAACAATCTTTACAACAATAATTAAAAAAATGAAACTTATCAACTCACCTGAAGTGATCGGCAACCATTCTTCATAACTGTATCCATATATATATATATATTTATTTATTTATATATGACTAAAACACACTATATTCTGCAGTGACTAAGAGGTTGATAAATGTGATTTTCAAAACATCTATTTTTATATAGAAACTAATTGCCTTTATAAAACAGACAGAAGGGTGGATAAAAATGTAACGAAACTCATTCATTCTATTGTTCACAGTTCGAACGCATATTATCAAATCGGTTGAAAATACATTCTGGCTTCATTATTATTAGAGATTTTGAACATATTTTTATTATATTAAACTAAACATCTGCTGATTGTTCACCTGCTATTTTGGATGCTCTGTTATTTATAGGTTGAAACTGTAACCGACAGGTAAGTATTAAGACCGTAACAGTAAGTTTGGAAAAAGAAAATTGATTAAGGAAAATGGCCCGCATGGCCAGGGCGCTCGACTCGCAATCTGCGGGTCGCGGGTTTGAATTCCCGTCACAACAAAACATGCTCCCCCTTTGAGCGTGTGGGCGTTATAATGTGACGGTCAATCCCACTACCAGTTGGTAGAAGAGTAGCCCAACAGTTGGCGGTGGGTGGTGATGACTCTAGTCTTCCCTCTAGTCTTACACTGCTAGATTAGGGACGGCTAGCGTAGATAGCCCTCGTGCAGCTTTGCTCGAAATCCCAACATAACATAGATTAAGGAAAAATAAGGTGAACAACAACAAATGAAAGACTCGAACAGTGTAAAATAAAGTACAAAAATAGTTATATCTTACATACGCTCAACATGCCGGTATCTTTCTATATTAGCATGTCGCCTTCATTATTAGAGATAAAACCTCCTGACAGTTTGTTTTTGAATTTTGCGCAAAGCTATATGAGGGCTATCTGCGCTAGCCGTCCATAATTTAACAATGAAAGTCTAGAGGGAAGGTAGCTAGTCATTACCACCCACCGCCAAGTTTTGGGCTACTCTTTTACCAACGAATAGTGGGATTGACCGTGACATTATAACGCCCCCCCCCCGGCTGAAAGGGCAAGCATGTCTGGTAACGAGATTCGAACTAGCGACTTGCAGATTGTGAGCCAAGCGCTGTAACAACCAGAACGTGACAGATAGAAAATGATTGATATTATATAATTGTACATTGAACAAAGTGGTTAAAGCTATTCTTTTACACAGTAAGCTTACTATTACTTTGTGTTGTTTAAATGTCGTTCACTTCAAGATATAATTTATAACAAATATATACCTTTGTAGAAAATGTTTTTCTCCTATTTTTTTTATTATTTGTACCATTATATAAATAATTTATTTTATTTATCTAGCATTCAGTTACTCGAAAATAATATTGGCCAAAACGCAAACGAAAGCATTCAGTACAGATTAATTAACACAACTAGAGACGGGAGTCTTGACTGTATGGAGATGACGTCATCACAAACTGTCGATGAATGGAGACCAGGATCGTACGAGAACTACACTGTCAAATTTGATCTTTTTATTCCCGGAATAACCTATCTAAAAAGTAGGTATCCAAAACATAAACTATGTGGGTTTCACCTAGTTTATATCTCTGTATGTCATTAGCTTCTAATTTTGTGGTAAACGCGTCTAATATTTCAATATCATGCTTAGTTTGCTTACCCTCATAAAACGAGTGAAGATATTTTGTTTTTCTAAATGGTAATATCTAACATAGTTATTATTCCCAGAAATTTAGTTTTCTCCACTTCAAGTATTCAGTATACCGCCGTAAACTGACAAACTATGAAACTAGAATGTACAAACACTTTTCAACGTGTTTACTTATTCAAAATTAGAGGTTTGAATATAGGTTTTCAGGAAAATAAAATACTTTAACAAACTTTAACTGTACTCAAACTCATTCCTTCAATCTATTCTTCCATAAAGTCATCACCTGTCATGTATGTCAAGATGATTCAGCTAAATAACAAGTTTAAATATCTATTTATCAGTCGGTCTAAAGTCGACGAATGTGCAGTGTGAGCTAGTGTGGGCTCTAAAAGTGACAACACGGTCACTAGAGTGCGTTTCATCACCTACAGAGAAAAAATGTTCTGGAAAAGGAATCTGTATTGCCGATTCAGAGAAGGTAAGACTAGTATTTTCGTAGAAGGCTGTATTTCTTTTATTGTAGGATTAACGTTAAAGTAAAATTACGTGAGTGAGAAAACAAAAGAGATTTTTGATGTGGTTATAAATGTAAAGTAGTAATGTTTTGTAGTAAACTTTGCTTATTAATCAACAGAAAAGTTTAATTTCTACAAGACGCTTAGATTAATGATATTTTTTCATACATACCTACTTTATGTATGTTGGTTTACCGTTATCTATTACCACTATATTTCTTTACCTTGCTATAATCCTCTGTTTACAACAGATTGCATCATTACTATACCTTACCCTAATGTATTCCAGTTACCTTCTATTCACAACTTATTAGTTTACTATTGGTTAACTTTCCCATATCCTTTCTTCAAAACATAGGCAGCAAAATTCCACGTGAACACCATTCGCACTTCTTCTTTTGTATAACTTTTTTCTTTAACTTATGAGGTGTGTAACGTATTTGTTGTTATATATTTATTTGAATATCACGTTTAGTTTAGTATTAAGTTTATATTTTAAA